TATATATTTTAATAAGATTGCTTTGCTCTGCCAATAGGTGATACGTATAACTACATTCTTTGCCTTTGGTGTGTCCCTTGCAGATAAAAGTAAATGTTACCCTAAGAACCTAACACTTCCTCCAGCCCTTAGCAAGGGAAGAGAATAGTGGTGGCATTTCTGTTCCTTATTTTCAGAGCAAGGTATAATTCACTGAAAGCTTATAAATGGCTTTAGTTTTAGAGAGTCAGGGAAGTGGGCTGGAAACAGCAAACAGCAGATGTTTCAGTGGGCTTTTTTAATGTTTTTGTTCATAGGCATTTAGCAATAGCTATACATATATATGTAGGTGTATGCACATATATTTTTTGAGACACTTTTATACTAGAGTTATCATCTTTAAATAATTCTAAATAGAAGCCTTTCTTATGCTCAGAGGTCAGCAGACCAATTTTTTAAAAAAATTAATTTGGTAAAAACAGGAAAGGTAATATTGTGGTACAAGTATAGGGTTTGGAGTCAGACCACAGTTCAAGTTTTGGCTTAGCCCTTTAACCAACTAAGGGATCTTGGGTAGGTCAATTAACTTCTTCACTTTTATAATGGAGATAATAATTTCTGCCTTACAAAAAAGTAAAGATGAAATTAACAAAAGTAAAAATTTTGTAAATCATTAAATACAATAGAGGTGCCATTATTATTGAAAACCACTTCATTTCTGAGATCCATAAAAATTGTTCCCAGTTTGTAGAGAACTTTAAAAGTCCCATGTAGGTATGATTTGTATGGTATTTTAAACAGCAGTGAAAAATTTAGGTCCAAAATAAACAGAAAACTATCTATAAAAATTAGTTTTTATTATTATACCAAATCCAGCACTTTTGCTTTTCTCATTAAAAACAGTAAGCATCATTAAATGTGAGAAGGCAGCAATGTCTGGGGAAAAAATGCCTAAGCCATAACTATTTGATTGTTTGTAATGATATGTTAACAATGAAACAATGTTTTTTAAACTTTTTTGCTCACAGTGGCATGCTTACAGGGCTATTTTATTATAGTAAGTAAATTGATTTTCTGAGTTTTCTCTGATAAATGTCTTTCATTCTTCAAAGTTTCTTGGTTTGTTTTTAACTACGCATAACTTGGTTTGACACGTCATTACTGACTTTATTTCACTTAGTTCTGTATTTTTTTGTAATATCAGAAAGTCATACATTTGTGATTCTGTTACTGTTTGGAAATTGCTTATAGGCATCGTAAAGAGTAAAGGGCGGAGAATAGAGTCAAAATCCTTGCTAGTTTCTTTGCTGCAATATGTTATTACTCTAGCATGTATTATTTCCATAAGATCAAGTGAATAAGAGAAATAATTATGCATGTTGCTACCTTGCCTAAATGGGAATGCCTTAGTGAATGTAGTATTGTGTGGTGTGTGTATTCTTTTACATATATACATATAAACATATGTATATATACATACATTTATTATTTATTATGCATAGACAAGGGCTGTCCGGAAAGTATCCAGCCATGTAATATGAAAAATAGAGACATTTATTATATTAACCATAGCTGGATACTTTCCAGAGAGCCCTCATATTTATTATGCATATGCACAGTATACATTATCTGTATATTATGTATATGCATTATGTATCTGTATATGTATAGGTATCTTTTGTATAGCTGTTAAATATATATGTATACATTTATTATACATTTATATATACATATGCACATGCATTCATTATTATGCATACTGTTATGCACAACAGTATACATAACATTATTGTGCATACTGTTGTTTAAACAACCAATAGTACTATGTCTTTGAATTCTTGAGAAGAGAGAAATTAAATGATATAAATCTTCTTATCTCAAACTGTACCTGGACATATGCCAGGATTATAAATACCATGTCTACCTTTAAGGGAACAAGAGGGGCTTTTCTTCTGTATTTATTATAGTGAATAATCAGAACTTTTAGTTTAAAAATATTTTTTGTATTTCCTGAAGTTTGAGTCAGTCTAAACATATGAACGGTTTTAGCCCTATTTATAAGCTTTGTTTAAATAAAATTGTGGCCTTATCAAGACTTAATCTTGTAGATACAAATTGGTATTCCCCGAATGCAAAGCTATTCCCTAAATTGTAAAGTTCTGTTTTCCATAATTGAAAAATGTCTGTTAAAAAAACATGAACTTATTAAAATATTAAGATAGTTTGTTTTCCACCTTATCTAAGTTTTACTTCCTCTGGAAAAAATTGTTAAAATTATTGACTTTCTTTTCCTTTGATACATTAAAGAGTCAGATAAAAGGCTTTTGGTTTAAGAATTGGATATTGAAAATGTAGGACAAGAGTCAAACTGTCAGACTTGGTCAGTGACCAAAGTGCCTGCAAAGCATTTCTTTTTTTGTTTTTTCTTTCCTTTCCTTCTTTCCTTCCTCCCTCCCTCCCTTCCTTCTTTCCTTCCTTCCTTTCTTTTTTTTTGTGAGAGGGTCTCGTGCTGTTGTCCAGGCTGGAGTGCAGTGGCATGATCATAGCTCACTGCAGCCTTCAGCTCCTGGACTCAAGCAATCCTCTTGCCTCAGTTTCCTGAGCAGCTGGGCCTATAGGCACACACCACCATGCCTGGCTATTTTTTAAAATGTTTGTGGAGATGGGGTCTCACTATGTTGCTCAGGCTGATTTTGTATTCCTGGCCTCAGGTGATTCTCCTGCCTTAGCCTCCCAAAGTGCTGGGATTACCACACCTGACCCCCAAAAATCCCTTGCTGTTAACTCAAAATTACAATTCTAGATCTTGGCTATTTTATTGATTGACTGATTTTTAGTCTTCCTGAAGAAGAATGAAAACACAAGTAAGGAATTTAAGACTTCCAGTTATGGTAAGCACTCAATTCATAGAACCAAGGGGAAAAACAATTACTTTGCCAAGTATATATATAAAATCCTAAGCATTTTAACTTGATGATTAATATCACTTTGTGAAGGATAATAGCAAGATGAAGCTCTCTTTTGGCTGAGGGTAAATGTAAATTGCTTCTCAGTCACAAGCTTTTATTTTAAAGCACAGGCTGTAGAAGGATTTGAGAGTGTCCTTAGCATAGCTTTACTTTACCTGTGTTGGTTACCGCACAAGGCATCCTGTTGTCTAAGACTTTTTATTTAGTTCCTCCGAGTTTTAGTTCTGCAAAATGGGAATAATAGTAACAGAATTCCCACTCTCTGTACCTCACAATGCTATTTAGAGAACGTGCACAGTGCACATCATAAATGTTTGCAGAAATGAAATAATCTGTTTTGAAATTATAAAGTACTATAAAAACATTGGTGTTGAATGTGTATGATTAGTATGGCCAGTTTTCAAGTTCCCTTGAACACCTCTGCTTGCTGATAATTCACACCAAACCTATTTTTCCCACTGCAAAAAATATTCTAGTATTCGAGTGCATATTTACTTTTTGGTTACTTCTGTCAACCTGACACAAAACTACATGCAAATTAAATACTCTCACCTCTCTTCTTTCTGCTTTCAGAGAGGGAGCATTATAAGACTAGAACTCACCCTCTCTTACGTGGAAATAGAGTAAATATGACCCCGTATAGATACTTCCTCAGTGGACTGAGTTCTCTTGCCTTGGAATTGTCCATTTCATTGTAAGAGTTGTGATTCTCAGAATGATGCGAATCTGAATTTATCATATCTAACTTTTAATACAAACCTAGCCTCACCAGATTGTAGCTAATGAAATATATTTTCCGTAAATCTAAATTATCTAGGATTTGATTATATAATTGTTAGCCACCTAGAATATTGACTTCCTTTCTTTCTCTAGACAATGGCTTTTAGTCCTGGCCTAGTGTTAATGAGGTAAAGAAGTGGATGAGAAAGAAGCTATAATTTCATTTTGCCCTTTATAAGCACTTACAGAGGGCGTGATAGAGGAGCTAGAAACTGCTTAATGTGGAATTTAAGTAGTATTTGTGTTTTTCATCTGCCTGTGATCTATCCTAGAGCCCCATTCTAAGGATAGTTGGGATTTGAAAGTGTTTCACTATTGCTACTCTAGGAAGTTAATTTCTACTTTTCCAAGTAGGGATTGCATATTAAACATTTTCACTTATTTTAACTAAAATGGCACTTCTTGATATGTTACATTTATTACAGTCAACACTTTTTAATAAAATTATATTGATGTTTATATATTTTATTATACTTATTTAATAAAGTTTATATATTTTTGTTATACTTAATTTCAGGTAGAGTGTTATGATTATGACAATGATGGGTCACATGATCTCATTGGAACATTTCAAACCACCATGACAAAACTGAAAGATGCCTCCAGAAATTCACCTGTAAGTTATATCTTTGTATTTGCATATACCTTATAGTTTGGCTATATATTTATTACCATATTTCATTTTTTCCTTTGGCATAGCAAATGGTTTACCATGTTTTTATTTTATATCTCATAATGCTCTGAAATATTTAATAATCACATAATCCAAAATTCACATTTGGGATATGAGTTTTATTGAGCAGAACACCATGTCATTGGTTACCAGTGCCAGGTAAGGACCCCAACTACATAGAGGATAGCAAAGATCATCACAATGTCAGTTACTAGGAATAGAAGTCCAAACAGTTTTGTCTACTGTGTCTTGGTATTGGAGTCACCAAGGCAACACAGTACAATCAAGCACTGGAGGGAGCAATACTTTACTCACGTGGAGAAGAAACAGAGCAGGATCAGCCTCCATAGTAGACATTGGTCCCCCGTGGACAGCAGGTCCATCTGGCAGCCAACACAAGGCAGTTGGCCTCAGTGTCCTTTTCTGGTGCTGCAACAGAAGGACCCCCCTCCCCACACATGGAGTCTGAAAGCTGGGGGCAGGCCTGAGAGCCATTGACACACAGGCTTAAGCAGAACGAAGGAGTACTTATTGAACCTGAAAGTATGAATGAATAAAGTAATGTAGCCTTTTTCAATGAGAATTCTGTTTAGGGCATTTTTGTATCTCTAATACTTAGTAATTAATATTTCTGATTATGACCGAAACTCTAGCAAGATCCTGAACCATCAAGGAATTTGTTTAACATAATTCTGTTTTGCATGATTGTGTCAAATGTATTTTTCATTGCTTGATTCTTAGAGAATTAGCACTGACTAAGTATATAAGTGGCTTTCTGTTAACCAGAAGAGGCAGCTTATTGAGTATTGATTGAGTGTCTCTTATGCTACTATTAGGCAAGACAGTGAGAATTTGAAGGTATAACTTGGAGGTGATTATACCCTAGTTGTGAAGAAGAAATTAAATGAAATAATTGAGAATAATACAGAGTATGTAGCTAAATTTTATATGGTTGTAGAAATTTAAGGAGATGGATGGAGATCAGAGAAGATAGAACAGTGGTGGAAATTACAGAGAAGAACAATGTGAGCCAAGCCTTAAGGATGGATAGGTGGATAGGAGGTAGAAGGAAGATCATTCTGTTTAGGGGACGGAACTATAAAGGAGAATGTATTAGATATTGGATCTATTTCTAGCATATATTCCCAGTGGAAAGAGATGGTCTTTGCTGCATATTTTACCATAGGATTGGGCTTTCATATATTTGTTTTATGATGTTGGGTTTTTTTTCCCTCTTTTCTAAAAGCTGTATTTTTGTGTTTGTGTTGATAATAGCTAGGGGTAATATTATATTTCCTTTATTATAAAAGAGAAAGATTATTACTTGAAGCATTGCAAGGAAATTACCTACCGAGGTAATGTTTATTCTTGGGAACTATTTTAAAAGATATGTGATTTTAGGAGTGCCTTGTGTAATTGTTTCTGAGTTGTATTTTGCTGCAGACTTATATCAGTAGGTGGTTTGATTCCAAGAGAAAAAAGTCATTTATTTGAATTTGCATTGGCATTTCTACGATTGCTAATAAAAATAAACATTTTGTCATCTTTTTCTACAGATTGAATTTGAATGCATAAATGAAAAAAAGAGGCAGAAGAAAAAAAGCTACAAGAATTCAGGTGTTATCGTTGTGAAACACTGTGAGGTTAGTTGGCCTTGGCTACTTATAATGTAATGAGATTATATTTCAAGTTCTTCTATCAGTATGGTTTATATCAAACAAATACTTGAATTCTAGGCAGTTGAAAATCCTATGAACATCTGGTCACTTTTAGGAAAAAGAATAGAGTAGGAGATAGTAAAGATATCTTTCAAGTAACTTGCTTCTAAAGTTTGACAATGTCTTAGCAAAGGACAAGGAATATTAAAGTTTTTCATTATCTTAGGAAATATAAGGCATTGTAGTATTTTCCCAGCCCATTATGGAAATGGCCTGACCCAGTGCATTTATTCTATCATAATCTTAAGATGAGATGTTATGAGTGGAGAGGAAAAGTCAGATTTCTTACAGTGAACAAAAGTGGAGTTTTTTTTGTTTGCTTTTGTTTTTTTTAAATCTCGATTACTATGCTTATTAAAGTTCTCAGCATATTAGACTCATTATATTAATTTCTTAAAACTCAAAGTTGAGTGTATTTCATCTTTGGCCATTAATATTCTAATGTTAACATTGCTATAATCTTGAAGTAAAATCTTATACATTCATGACATGTAAAGGTAGAGATGCGTTAAACTTGAAAGCAGGGATGATTTACACATGTTTATATCATGTGCTGTTCAATTTACAAACTTTAAAAAACATATGCCAAAGAGCTTTTTGTTTCTCTTGTATAGTAGGAGAGTTGTAATTTTAACAGTTTTTTCTTTATTTTTAGATTACAGTAGAATGCACATTTCTTGACTATATCATGGGAGGATGTCAGCTGAATTTTACTGTAAGTAACACACTGAATTTTTCAGCATAGATTGTAACATGTTACTTTTGTCTCCATTTTACAGTATTCTTTCTTTTACTGCAAATTCACTTTGTGATGAATTTACACGATCTGCTCAGCATGGTCTCCTCAAAGACCTCAGACAGGTTGTATAGGTTTATCAAAACTCTCAGCTTTTTTGATGAGATCTCTTCTTCCCGAGAGAAAGCAGATATGTATAAACTAGTGGTTCTCCTGAAGTAATTTAAGTAATAGAAAGCATCAGTCAAACAAACTTACAAAAAACAGTTTCTAAGTCTAGGTAATGGGTATGTTAATTCATGATTTAAGACATTTAGAAAAATAGGGACAACAGGTTGTTTCATGTTCAGGCCCTAACTATTTAATTGTCTATGGAAATAGTGGTGGGCATTTATTAGGAAATGGCAGTAGCAGGCTCCAGGATGAATGTTTGTCTCTCCTCTCCTAAAGTTTTCCTGGACATCAAGCCTTCTCCTTGGTAAGGGCTGCAATTGTTATTTGACAGGTGGGAGTGGACTTCACTGGCTCCAATGGTGACCCAAGGTCTCCAGACTCCCTTCATTACATCAGCCCCAATGGTGTTAATGAGTATTTGACGGCTATCTGGTCTGTGGGACTGGTCATTCAAGATTATGATGCGTGAGTATGATTTTGGAAAAACTAAAATGCTTGTTTTCATAACTCCCCGGAAAGGGCAGTTTCTGTTTCGTCAGATGGCTAGAACTCAGATATAGGTGGTAGGATGAGGGTGCTGGGAGGAAAAGCTTTCTCCTTAAAATTTCCCTTGTTTTCTTTTGTTTTTCTCTTTGTGGCAATCTTAGTGTTTACCTTTGATCTCAAATCTCTTGCTGTGATTGGTTATATTATGTGTAGCTTGCTTATTTATTAGCTGATCTGTATCAGCAAGGCTGTTCTTTCTTTGATCTTGTTTCCTTGGGGTTTATTCATTAGGCATAAGTTGTATGTGATTAAAGTTCAGATGACATGTTTTGTAAACACTAGTAAAAACTATTTCTTACCTATTTCCTTGGCATTTATCAAATTATTATTAATGGTGACTTTTAACAAGTACTGAAAGATAATTTAATTGCTGTAAAATATTCTGAATGAATTCTCAGTGATTAGATTTTGAATATATTTAAATAGATCCTCTTGAAGATTTACTAAACAATAAGAAAAAAATCTGTGTTAGTATTTTTTTTTCTGGATCTATTAGAACACAGGATAAATTTTCACTTGTTTTTGCCTATTAATATTTAATGATAAAAGCCCTTACATATTGATGGAGCTTTTCATTAATCTGTCATGGCATTTAAAGAGGTGAAATTTTCAGGCAAATGCAAACATATCTAAAGCAAGGGTGGCAATTCCAATATCAGGCTAGTAAACTTTAAGGCAAAAGTCATTAAATATAGTAAAAAATTATAGAGTACTTTTTACTATAATCCAAAATAAAAATATAACCATGAACATGTTTAATATCAGAGTATTAAGTATTTCAAGTAAAAATAGCTGGAAATGTAATAAAAATTTCAAAGTAACCCAATTATAATGGGATTCTTATATAAAAAGTAGGAAATTTGTAGGGTTGTTTTCTCAGACTGTCACCTGGAAGTTAATAACAAAAGAATAACTAAAGAAAATTTACCACATGGAAATAAAAAACTCAAGTGGTTCTTAGATCATAGAGGAAATCAAAGTGTAAAAATAGACTATCTAGAAATAAAGGACAATGAGAAGACTATATGTGGTACTGTTTCTATAGGGAAAATTTCTGGCTTTACATGCTTTTATTTTTCAACAAGAAGAATTAGATATAAATGAACTAGTTTTTCAACAAAATAAAATTAAAGAATAGGAAGAAAAAATAAAGGAATAATAATAATAATAATAGAATTCCATATACGTGTTAGCCATTATGTACCAGGGATAATTTAAAGCATTTTCTAGGTGATATTCATCTAATCCTCATACTTCACTGTGCCATGGGTACTTTCATCTGCATTGTACAGATGAGAAAACCGAGGCACAGAGTGTTATATAACTTGTCTAGTGTCACTCAGTTGGTAACTGGCAGAGATGGATTGAGCCTGGGCTGTTGGGCTCTAGAGACATGCTCTAATAGTAATGCTTTGGAAAGTTTAAAGAAAAACCACCAAACTTAAAAATTAAATCAAGAGGTGGTTCTTCGAAAGTTCAGCAAAACTTAGGGAAACTTTGGTAGCACTGACCCAAAAATCTGGATTAAAGGATGATATTTTAGCAAGCTGTACATTACCAAAGTTGACTCAAAGAGGCAGAAAACCTGAATAGACCAGGAACCATGGAAGGAATGGAACAGGTAGGTAGTCAAAGAGCCACTCCTCACAAAGGCACCAGGTCAGGACAATTTCATACTTAAATTCTAACAAACCTGTAAGGAATGAATGCAAACCTAAAAGAAATCAACTAAAAAATATTAGATAGTAGTGAGTTCAGAAAGGTGGTCAGATACAACATAAAATTAAAACATTAACAATTTCTCACTAACCAGCAGTAACCAATTCAAATAATGATAGTGGATAAAAGTTGCAATTCATAATATAATGAAAAAATGAAAATGAATTTAGTAAAAAGTCTAGGATCATTAGTAAAGAAAACTACAAAATTGTACTGAAGGACAAAGAAGAAACTCGTATTTAAACAAGTGGAAAGATATACCACGATTTCTAGATAGGCAGATGTCATAATGATGATGTAAAATTTTCTCCCTGAATTAATCAATTTTTATCAAAATTGCAATGGAACCCTGACAAAATGATTCTTAAAATTTTCTAGAAGGAAAAATGAATCAGAATAGCCAAGAAATTTTCTAGCAAAAAAGAAAAAAAAAATGAAGGAGAATTTGCTCTAGCAGATATTAAAACTTATATTAAAGTTATCTTAATTAAGAGGATGGGCTGGGCGCGGTGGCTCACGCCTATAATCCTAGCACTCACGGAGGCTGAGGCAGGAGGATTGCTTGAGCTTAGGAGTTCGAGACCAGCCTGAGCAAGAGGGAGACCCCGTCTCTACTATAAGTAGAAAGAAATTAGCCAAACAACTAAAAATAGAAAAAATTAGCCAGGCACAGTGGCACGTGCCTGTAGTCCCAGCTACCCGGGAGGCTGAGGCAGTAGGATCACTCGAGCTCAGGAGTTTGAGGTTGCTGTGAGCTAGGCTGATGCCATGGCACTCTAGCCTAGGCAAGAGAGTGAGACTCTGTCTCAAAAAAAAAAAAAGGATGGAATACATGACCAGTGGAAACAAGCAAGTAGTCCAGAAATAGACACACATGTATAAGTGAATTTAGGGGAAGGAGTTTTAACAGCTGTCAAACTGGACAAGAATTGAATTTGGATCCCTGATTCAGACGTGTGTATGTTAGGATACTATTCTGTATAAATTAGAGTTTAGAGCCATACTGCTGAAACAGACACCCAAAAACAAAGTGGCTTTGATAAAATAGAGGTTTATTTCTCTTTCATGTTGCGTGTCTAGCGGTAAGTAGTTAGGACTGATAGGGCAGTTCTGTCATTCTCAATTCATAACTTCCAGCCCTGGGTCCAAGGTAGCTGCTCTGGTTCTCGTCTTCTCCACCCAGTGGGAAGAGAAGAAAGGAACCTGGGAACACATGTGCATTCCCTTTTAGGGGCATGATTCAGAAGTGGCTGACAATTCACTTCTACTCGCATCTCCTTGGCTAGAATCTAGCCACCTCACCACATCTAGCTCAAAGGAGGTAGGAGGTGCAATCTCTAGTTCAGGTATTCTGTTATTAAAGAAGAGAAGAATAGATATTTGTAGACAGCAGCAGTTTCTGCTTCATATCCTACTCCAAAACACTTTCCAGATGAATTTTAAGTTTGATATCAAAAGCAAACTTGATAGTTCTAGGAGAAAATATATGTGAATTTTCTATAACCTTGCATTGAGAGAAAGGCCTTTAGGTAAGACAGAGAAGGCAGGCAAGACCAAGAAAGAAGAAATCACAAAAGAGTTTTTATGTGTTCACATTTATTGATATTAAAAACTCTGAAAAGAAATATACTTTAAACAAAGTTAAAGATGGACTGCAAATTGGGAAAAATATTTCTGACATGGCAAAGGTTCTATCTTCAATGCAAAAAGAACCATGAAGAATAAATACAAAAAGAATAGCCCTAATAGAAAAATTTATATGTTCATTACAGTGTTTTAATGGCAGAACATTAGCTATCTGACATAGAGGGGAGAATATCCACACAGTGGGGTACTCAGCAACCATTCACAGGATTTTATATGTTCAGGTCCACAGTCCCTATCTCTAAATGCTTGAAGCCAAATATTGGCAAATACATTTTGCTACAGAAACCTGAGAGTTTTATGACCTACGGCATTTGTACTGTGTTTCTGTGGCCAAATATATGAATATTCATATTAAGTGGCATAAATAAATGCTGTAAATTAACCTCTTCTCAGCTGAGATCAGATTTTGCTGCCAAATGAGTTTGCTGTAAACAAATGAAAAAACTTGTGATTTTAGGGATTTATTTACACATTGTTCAGTGAAGTGATGCACAAGATTTAAGTAGAAAAGAGTAGGTTATAAAATGTGAATATTAATTCCACTTTTATAAAATACAGAGAGAAACATTTTTCTTTCACAATACATGGAAAAATATTTAGAACATGAGTTGTCAAAAATTAATGTCGATTCTCTCTGGCAGTTATTATGGGTAATCTTTGTTTTATCTTTATACTTTTCTAAGATTTCAATTTTTTGAAATTAGTTCATATTAATTTTATTATGAGTAAAGATAAAGCTATTTTTATTTTGAAAAAAATAATATGTTACTTTTTTAAAATTTTTCTTTTTAGTGATAAGATGTTTCCAGCTTTTGGTTTTGGAGCTCAGATACCTCCTCAGTGGCAGGTAAGAGGAAATTTCATTTTAAAGCTTTGCCTTCTAGAAGAGCAATACAGGCCTCATCAATCCTCTTTCATTTTTGACAGGTATCACATGAATTTCCAATGAATTTTAACCCATCCAATCCCTATTGTAATGGTAAGTTAAAAAAACAAACATGAGGACTTTAAATTCAAAACCAGACTAGTCTTTGTTATTTGTTTTATTCTCCTGGTTTAAAACTAGTCAGATTTCATCTCTAGTTTTCATTTTGTTACATATTTAACTTTCTGTTGTATAAGGTAGAAAAATTGCATCAGGTTGGTAGTTTGGGTGATAATGATAATTATGGAGCAAATCAGTATTATAATGATGGAGGTTGTAAGATAAATTCTTCTACCTTCAGAGGTTTAATAGAACAAAGAAATTCTCAGTCATGGGAGTAAATCAATAAAAATTATCATATATTAAAAGTATGTTCATGTATAAATTGATTTAAAAATAAACCTTCAATAAAAAGAATAATTCAGCAGGCAGATCTTTTGAAGCTTTCCTCAGTGTCAGTCACTGCGCAAAGAAAAAAGCATTCAGCATCTAATTACTTGTTGCTCACACAGTGTTCTGTAAGTGGGTGGGGTGGATGAAAAGAACAAAGAATTGAGCTACAAATAGCAGCTTTTCCTGCAGAGGGCAGGAGGCAGACATTTGTCTGTTATTTCACTTTTTCTTTACACCTCAAATATTCAAGTGCTTCCTCCTTTTTACTACATTGGTCAATCAACCTAAAATGTCAAATCTCTCACTAAATTACGTAAGACTAAGTAGTTGAGAGGAGGAAAGGTAGGTGTGCAGGCAGAGGCATAATTTGAAATTCTAGACAAAAGGCTAATTTTCTGCAAAGGGTCCTTCTGACAGTTATAAAATGTATAGCTTTCTAAAGGTGTTCTTTCCTTTTCTTCTAAATAATGTTCATAGGGTGGAAGAGCATTAACATTTTTGGGGGGGTAGTTTGCATTGTGGTTTTCTCCTTTTTTCCAAAACACTTTTTCCATACTAATTCAGTGTTCCCTTGAGGCACTTTCAGTGGCTGGTTGTGACTTCTTTTATCCCTAGCCATTTGAAACTGGGAATATTATTCTTTTCAAGAAATGTGCTTCATGCTTATGATGAAATTGAAATAATTTCTGGAATTTTTTGTAATTAAATATGCATGACATATCATGCGATAATTCATTTTAAAAGTTTATTTACTCTGTGAATTATATGAGCCCATCTTTGGGCTGTTCACCACGCACAGCTTTTTTATTTTTGGTTTGCAGTCTGAAAAAGAGTCTATGTGGTTTTAGACAAAGGAGATACTGTACAGAAAAAAAATACAGAGTCTTATTTTGAGGCAAAGAAGTTTAATCCCTTTGCCTAATTAATCCTTCAAATTAGTTGCCTAGAAATAGCATGTCTCACTTGTTTCTTTAATTCAAAGGAAGGATTTTGGCATAATTCAGTTTTAGTTGAGGAATTGAATGCTATTGATATTTGCGAATAAATTAAATTAAATTAATTGTTTATACCTTCAGGTAAAAAAGCAACTAAGATGATCGAATTGGAAGAAAACATTAATGCTGTAGTAATGGGCTCAATTTTTCTGCAGCATTTGTCACTGCAGTGAGATTCTGCTGCTAGCAGATGTTAACATTATTTTTATTACTACTGGGCTAACTCTTAGTTACATGCACCTTAGCATGTAAAACCACCTCCACATATGAATGAGTTATGTTCTCAGGGGTTGGTTATAGGACTACTTGGTTCTAAGTTCAAAGTAACTAAGAGGAGTTCATTGGAACTCTTAAATTTTAAAAGGGGGGAGCTGGTCTTGTGAAGCTTTTAGATCAAGTACAGTCATGCACCAAATCACAATGTTTTGGTCAATGATGGAACGTGTATATGACTGTGGTCCCATAAGATTGTAATACCATATTTCTATTATACCTTTTCTATATTTTCTGTGTTTATATATGTTTTGGCACACAAATTACCATTGTGTTAATTGCCTGTAGTATTCAGTACAGTAACGTGCTGTACAGGTTTTTAGTCTAGGAGCAATAGGCTGTACTTGTCGTATAGCCTAGGTATGTAGTAGGCTGCACCATCTATCTAGGTTTGTGTAACTACACTCTGATGTTCCACAATGCACGGTGATGAAATTGCCTAACAACACATTTCTCAGAATGTATCCCTGTTGTTAAACAACACATGACTGTATATGTTTCTCTTCCTTGTTGCCCTGTGTTCTATTGGACATTTTTAAAGCAAGAGACCTGTTTTGGTTTACATTAAAAGTTTTTTTTTGTGGGAGATATCTGGATGACCCCAGCAAGTACTGGGGGGGATTCTTTAGGATTTCTAGTATCCTACCTGTATCCTAAACACTCTGACATTAAGGGCAGATTCAATAGGTGCATATGTGGGATATGGGTTGCATCGGCAGTGCTTTTACCAGCAATGTCAGTCAACTTTCATTAAATTGTGCTGTTAGGATAAACAATCTCCAAATCACAGTGGCTTATAATGACAGTTTATTTCTTGCTCATTTTACATGTGGCTAGATTGTAGCTCTGCTCTGTTTCTTATATTGGGACTTAGGCTGAAGGAGCAGCCCCCAATTGGGATGTGCTGCTCTCATGGCAGAGGGAAAGAGCAAGAGAGCTGGAGGAGACAGGCAGTAGTTCTGAAGACATCTGCTTAGGCAGGGATATCATGTTCATTCACATGCATTGCTCAAAGCTAGTCAAATGGTGCTGTCCAACTTTTAACCTACCTCCAGCAGGCCCTGGGCAGTAGCCCATAAACAAACACATTAGTGTTTCCACAGCAAAATGGGTAAGTAACCTGGAAGTGAATATCTGGAACTAATACAGTCTACGATACTATGCTTAACCTTTAAGTTATTGAATAAACACTTGCATCAATTAATTAACTAGGATTAATATTAGGTTTATAGCCATCTGCTATTTTTGTGGAACCTCTGGCCATATATGTGATTTTTAAAAAAATTTTATCAGGAACTTTTTCTTACCTTTTATCATTAGTTGTATGATATAGCACCTTTTTTGTGGTTCTTTTTCCATCAGTCACCTTCCCAAAACACATCAAAATTAAGCACAAATGTAACAGTCCTACTGTAGACTAATGAACAATTCAACTGAGATGAGAATAAATGCCATTTACTGGGGAAGGGCAGAGTTTATAGGTTTTTGTAATAGAGCATAGCTTTGGAGTTTTGTAACACATAGCTTAGAGGAACTCCTGAATATAGAACTTTTGACTATTTAAAACACTATATGTTGATAGATATAATTAGCCCATATTATAAGTAAACATATTGTGCTTGAGAATTTTTAATACTGCTTTTTTTGGTCTAGGAATCCAAGGCATTGTAGATGCGTACCGGGCTTGTCTTCCTCAGATAAAACTCTATGGACCAACTAATTTTTCTCCAATCATAAATCACGTGGCCAGATTTGCTGCTGCAGCCACACAACAGCAAACAGCTTCTGTAAGTGTTCTGTGGCCAGGGGATGCGAAGAATGTGGATTGGTACTTGCTCCTGTTGCCATTTTTCCATTTATTTAGTCTGTCTCAATACAGAGTTAGGGCAAGATGCCATGGTTTAGTCATCCTTGGCTTGGGAGTAACATCTATTGTTAAATTAATGATCATTAAGAATAAGACAAAGTTGGTCAGATGTGGTGGCTCACACTTGTAATCCTAGCACTCTGGGAAGCTGAGACAGGAGGGCCACTTGAGGGCAGGAGTTTGAGACTAGCCCGAACAAGAGCAAGACCCTGTCTCTACAAAAAAATAGAACAATTAGATGGGTGTGGTGGCGCATGCCTGTAGCCCCAGGAGTATTGCCTGAGCCCAGGAGTTTGATGTTGCTGTGCGCTATAATGATGTTGCTGCACTCTAGCCAGGGTGACAGAGCGAGACTCTGTCTTGGGGAAAAAAAAAAAAAAAAAGAATAAGACAACAACAAAACATTGCTTACATTCATGAATCTTTTCTCTGTCTCTTTTGAATTAATTTTCTGAAGATTCTACCAAAAAAGGCTATTAGCTACCTTTTTGAAGTAGACTTAACAAACTAAGACTTGATGACTTAGTGCATCCATTGTAATTGCAAGATTACTTACTGTACTGAAGAGATTTGAATTGGTTAACCTTACCTATTGGACCTTGGACACCAAATCTCTCTTATTTTAATTATACTCAGAAGTAAGGTAAAGGAAACTACCTCAAACAGTTGTTGAAAGAGCTAAATATAATAATTCGTATAAAGTGCACAGTGCATGGGGTCACGAGTAAACATTCAGCACGTTAGCTACTATTATAAATTTTATTCCATTCTAGACTTAAATGGCCCAAAAGATGGAGTCACAACTTTCTGTCACATTTTCCTACCATGAAAAGTTTTATCAGAGATGACTGAATGTAGAGAAAGATTCCCCCCTTAAACCATATCCGTTTTTTAAAATGTATAATTTAGCATGGTAAACAATTCTACTACTTCTGTATTTATTTGATCTTTTGAGAATGAAGTTATTACTTGGTCCCTTTATTGATACTTTGACATATTTAATAGTTCAGTTAAATTAAAGTGTTTATTCCTATGCTTACTGAAAGGTTAATCTTTGACATTTAGATGCCATGCTTCTGTCTATTTTGGCAACCCTATTTTGTGGTCTGCTGCACTTTTAATGAGCCTGTAGTTTTTGTAAGAGTCCATTTCCTTGTCATCAGAGAATCTTAGAACATTTTATGCAGGTGGTATCCTAGGTAGAGACTGCCAAGGAAAATGAACAAGATAGAGACTGAATGACTCATCAAGCTAGAACTATCATTAACCATAGCTTTTATTGTTTGGGAGTTTGACTTGCTCAGTGGACATAATTTCTTTTTTTTGGCAGCAATATTTTGTGCTCTTGATCATTACTGATGGTGTGATCACAGACCTTGATGAAACCAGACACGCTATAGTTAATGCTGCCAAGCTACCCATGTCCATCATCATCGTTGGAGTTGGAGGTGCTGACTTTAGTGCCATGGAGTTTCTGGATGGTGATGGTGGAAGTCTTCGTTCCCCATCGGGAGAGGTGGCCATCAGAGATATTGTCCAGTTTGTGCCTTTCAGACAGTTCCAGAATGTGAGTATTATTCTTCCTTATTCAAACAGTAAGACGTTTGAACACAGACCTTTGCCTGTCCACAAGCAGGCAAGTTGAGTAGGTGTGGGGTTAGAAAATGTGTGAACACTGTGTTTTTTCCATTTGAGAGCTCTAATTGGATTTGGAGTGTTGCTTCTGGGTGTATACAGTGTGCTTCTTGGAGTCTATATGACAAATTGTTAAAAACGGTATTGTTGTGAATGTCTTAAGATATATTTTATCTTTACCTTTGTAACAACAGAAAGAAGCGCTATATGAATACATGCTTAATTTATCAAGCTGGAAGTTGGTTTGATGAAAATTTCTCAGCAAGCTGTTGTATGTAGTATACTTCAGTGGTAACATCTTGAAAAACTGTGGAACAGAATCATAACCAGGATATTTACATTGATATAATCAAGATACATCACCACAGGGATCCCTCATGTGCCCTCTTATAGCCACATCCATTTCCCTTCCACCTCTATCTTTTCCTTAACCCTTGGCAACCACTAATCTGTTCTCCATTTCTGTAATTTTGTCATATCAAGAATATAACATAAATGGAATCATCATATAGTATGTAACCTTTTGGGACTGGTGTTTTTTTTTACTCAGCCTAATTCTCCCAAGAGTCACCGAGTTATTGCATATATTCCTTTTTATTGTTGAGTACTATTCCATGTTATGGATGTTACCCCAGTTTGTGTAAACATTCACCCATTGAAGGACATCTGAGTTGTTTCTTGTTTTGTCTGTTGTACATACAGCTGCATATAGACATTTATGCATGGGTTTTTATGTGAACATAAGCTTTTATTTCTCCGGGATAAATACCCAGGAGCACAATTGCTGGGTCACATGGTAGTTGCATGTTTAATTATTAAAGCAACTGTCAAACTTTTCCAGAGTGGCTATACCATTTAATGTTCCTACCAGCAATGGGAGGGGGTGAGGGCATGTGTGCAATTATAAAGCAGTATTGTTAGAGAGCTTTGTGGTGATGAAGTACTTCTGTATCTTGATTGTGGTAGTGTTTACACAGATCTCCCTATGTAACAAAATTGTATAGAATTTTATACCCACACATACAATGGAGTGCATGTAAAACTAGCAATCTGAATAAGGTCTGTGAACTGTACCAATGCCTGTTGCCTGGTTTTGATATTGTACTATAGTTACAAAAGCTGTTACCTTTGGAGGAAACAGGGTGAAGGGTACATGGGACCTCTCTGTATTATTTTTGCAACTTCCTATAAATCTATAATTATTTCACAATAAAGAGTAAAAAAATTTAATACCAAGTGAATGAAAGACCCACATTTAAAAGTTAAAGAACAACAACAAAAAAATCATCAAATGTTAAAATGCTGGAACTGGAAAAGGGCTTGATAAATGTTAGCAGGGATAATGTAATAACAGCAATCATAAGTAACATCGGTTACTTAGCTTATTCCATATTTCGTGGACTATTCCTCAGAAAACATATGGGCCTAGGAATTGGGAATTACTGCTTTTTAATGGCTTCTGAAGTATCCCTAGTCTTTTTTCAACAAGCCAGTAAAAATTCAGTTGCTGATAAAGTTGTTTTGATTTTGTTTTTCACAAGGCTCCGAAAGAAGCACTTGCTCAGTGTGTGTTGGCAGAAGTTCCCCAGCAGGTGGTGGGCTACTTCAACACCTACAAACTGCTTCCTCCCAAGAACCCAGCTACGAAATAAGAGGAGCTGTGACCACTTCAATAGAATTCTTTTGTGCTGTGTGGAGCAATGCCACCTTTTACCCAGAATCGTGTATCTGTCATTTTATGTACTCTTCACCTCCAGCATTTATGATGTAGATCCAGTTTTCTATGGATTGTATCTGTTTAAAGCATTCTTTTTTCCTTTTTTGGAGTGATAGTGCCACATCCATCTTTGCCCAATCAATTCAGTGATTACTAGTGATTTACAGTAATTGCAGTGAGGCTATTTGGATTAGAAACTAGTGTGGGAAAACCCCAGTTTGTCATTGTTGTTTTTTACTTTCATATGGTGAAAATGATGTTTTTAAATGTTTGTCATTAGAATGAAAAATTGTTGGGATGATGTGATTTGCAGGTAGCTGTACTTGGTTCATAGTGCATGTTAGAGCCAGTGTTCATACCTGATAACGAGAGCTTCTTAAATTGGATGAGATTGAATTTGTTACTGGAATTCTGCATTCAGTGCTTTTCCATGGGGTAAAACCTCCTTTAATTGCATCTGATTTTTGCTGCAATTTGGATACTACAGTTTACAAAACAGCATGCACTTACATAGGACTTCATGAAAAGTACTAAAGGAACAGGAAAAACACATATTCAATTTTTTAAATGTACAATCAATTAAAAAAAAAAAACCTCATGTAAGTAAGCCATTTTTATTTGTCTTTCTAGATATTTTATTTTCATTGTGGAAATCTGTAAACGTGGTCAGATTCAGCCTTTCTTTTCATCGATTGAATGTGACACTCAGGATTCTGTAGCTGCATAGATGATAGATTCTTCCAGATTCTACCTTATTAGATTATTTTAATTGAGATTTGTTAAAATGGTTAGGACTGCTTTATCCAGGAAAGCTATGAGGACCAGACATATAAGGTGAAATTCAGAATTCCATTTATTTCTGACTAATGAAAGATTTTACTTATTAAAAAAAAGTTTTTATACTTTCCTTGCTAAGGTCCCATACATTGATCTGTACAGATTCATTTGTATGTTTTCTCCTTTTTTTAAGTGGCATTTTGGTCTGACTTTTAATCTCATGATACTGGTTATCTGTTAGTCAAAATCACATTTTACGTTTTAGTAATGTGCTATTTCCTAAGTACAGAATATATCATATGAAGCATAAAACCTGTTGTAACTTAAAAAGAGAAAAAAAAAACAAACAAAAAAAACCCTTTCTGAATGCTGCATTAAGATAGAGTGTACTTTACATACTTTTTTTTAGAGTAGAATTTTTTTTCCTGACTGTTACACTTTACAACATATTACTTAGTGAACATTACATTTCCAAAATAGATGTAGTAACATTTTATTGAGGACCTGTGTGCTAAGTACTATGCATATCTGTATATTGGCCAATTATCTTCAGTAGTTTAACATTTAAAATTGTATGTTTATAACATATCCTTAAGTAGATGCACAGTGCCGTGTTGACATGACTCTCACTTTATTGAAAACCTGTCCCACAGCCCATATCTCTTGTTCTCTGCAATGTCTGAAGGAACTGGGCTGTCAGCTACTAACAGCTTTGGCTTCTCGGAAATATTCTCATTGCCAAGGTCAGGCTGAGAGGGGACCTGCCTGCTGTCATGGTTGCTTAGCCCAGGTGAGCAGTTACCTACCACCTTCCTGCTTGGCTAGTTGGCCTCTGGATTTGTGCTGTTAATTGGAAGGTACCCAACTAGTAGTCTGCTACTCTCTAGTATGGCTCCTTAGTTTTTTTTTTTTTTTTGAGACAGAGTCTCACTGTGTTGCCTGGGCTAGAGTGCCATGGCGTCAGCCTAGCTCACAGCAACCTCAAACTCCTGGGCTCAAGCGATCCTTCTGCCTCAGCCTCCCGAGTAGCTGGGACTACAGGCATGTGCCACCATGCCCGGCTAATTTTTTCTATTTTTGTTGGTCCAGCTAATTTCTTTCTATTTTTAGTAGAGACGGGGTCTCACTCTTGCTCAGGCTGGTCTCGAACTCCTGAGCTCAAGCAATCCACCTGCCTTGGCCTCCCAGAGTGCTAGGATTACAGGCGTGAGCCACTGCGCCCGGCCCTTAGTCAATTTTGACATTACCAATAAGGAAGAAGAAAACTGATTATTCTTCCAATTATTTGGAGCCATGGTTGTCTCAGATGTCCTAATTCGGTTCTCTTTGTGTGCTTGGAAACAACAGAGCCGTGTTGTTCTGGTTTTCAGAATTTTCCCTTTTAATCATAGGAAGCTTTTTAAAAAATGACTTACACATATTCTCAATGTATGGCAAAACAGAAATGGAGCTTCTCTGTTTAATGCTGGGGCAGGGTCCAGAGCCCCACCCACTGGGCCTACTCCTCATTCTTGTTCACCAGCTCCTCAGCAGCACCTAAGTCACCTGTGCAGGGTACAGGAAACTGCTGAGCACTCATTGGTTGGCCAAATAACAGCCATCACTGTCAATTTGAGCTGGTCTTCATAATTTTATATTCTGATTTTACCAGAATTGTTCTCTGTAAAAAAGTTTTTTTTTAAATTATTAATTCTTGTTCAGGATCATCAGTAGATGCTGTTATTCATAAGAACTGTGATTCCAGCAAATTAGGGTAATTGGTACGTTTTTGTAGTTTTGAATAAAAGCATGTATAATTTCTGAATTATCAGTTTCTAAAATTCTTACAATTTTAACACTCAACATCATCACATACTGATTTAATATTATTTTATATTAAAATAGTCCTTTTCTCTATTGTGCCACTATTTATTCATGTGCCATTTGTTCTTAAAATGCATTTAAAGAAAAATTAACCAAATTGACTTTCGCACTTCGTGTAATCAGATATAATACAAACATATATTGCAGTGACAGGGCCCTGGATAGATATAATATTTCTCACATATGCCTGTACTGAGAAAATATTATAACAACTGTCCTAGTCACCTTACCTTATAGTTAGAACTGAAATTTTAAGACCATAAAAATTTAAAGTCTGATCAGGGATTTACAACTGTTCACTTTGGTAGTGCCTTAGGCAGTGTTTCCAAAGTAAATTTAGGGCCCCAACTTACGCTATCTTTTGGCATAGTTTGCCGTTTTCATTTCATAAATTTCCTGGAAAGACATCTTTAGTAAATCTCTCCTACTCTCTTTATATGTGTGGTTGATAGTCATGGAAGGGACACATAAGGAAAGCTAGAAATTTGGTGGAAATCGTGAGAGACTATTTTGTGCTTTTATGGATGTTACACTTGATAATATGTGTATAAGTTACTAATATATGAATTGATGTTGAATATATATTCCATTTGAATTCCCTTTGGATAAAGTTATTTCTTGATGTAACACAGTAGTGTCTTGTTTTCATTTTTATTCTTACATATTATCAAAACAATTGAAAAGTTAGAAATAAAGTGAATATAGTGTTTTCAGTGGCCTGTATTCCATATTTTATTGAATTAAACAATTTGGAGGATGTTATGATATTTATTTATTGAAAAGATACTAAGTGGGTTCAAGATACTTTTCTGGGCACAATAAAGGGAAGATTCTCAGCTTATAGATAGGGAGGCCTGAGATATATGGGACTCATATTTTATCGATCACATTAAACAGGATGATATATACATCTAACTTTAAAAATATATTTTTTAATTGCTCTGTTATGTTGAAGTCATTGGACAGGGCTTTGCAAATACAGGGGTGACCAAGACAGGAACAATTGCTGCCTTCACAGAAATAATGCTAGAGGGACAGAGAAAACATTAAACAAGTAATTACAGAGGCGTGGAATCAGCGTGTGATATAACGTGTAGTAGAGAGACCTAACCCGAACACATCCCTAAGATAGACCATTGAATCCAAGACCTGAAAATTAGCAGATGAAGAAGGTTAAAAGCATTTATGAAGGTGTCAGGTCAACAACAAGTTTGGAGTTGAATGTTTTAGGAGTGGAAAGACTTTGAGTTTGTTGGAATGTAAAGTGCGAGAGGGGAAGTGGTAAAAGAAGAGCAGAGGGCTGAGGTGGAGTGGCTGGTGGGGCTTACACCTGGGGGCCCCCTGCAGTGGGTAAGGGAGTTCAGACTTACCTAAGGGTAACGGGATGTCACTAAATGGGTTTAAGCAAAGGAATGATGTGATTATCTTTGTGTTTCTAAAAAATTAGAGGACCTTACATTTTAGGGCAGACAGCTGGGCTCAGAAGCCCACAGAGTTCCATATGGAACCCTGTTGACAAACTTGGGTCTGGCCACAATGGCTTTGCCTTGGTGACGCCCATATGGGGGAGCTGGTGATGTTCACCTTCTGGTGGAGAATCAGCTGTTTGTTCACTTGCTAAGTGTCTAATTCTAGGTGTTTCCAAATGCTGTGCTTTTCCTGCCACAACCCTGCTGCCAGATCAAATCATCTGTTAGGCCTTTATCTCATCAATTCCTTAATGGTTCAGAGGGTGGCCCACACTTGGTGATAACAGATCTCCAGGATTGCCAAACCCTTGCTTGTAGCAAGACCATCACCCTTGTCACTTGTCACCAAGCATTATATGTTTGGCCAAATTTCCCAGAAAAATCAAAGCAGGTTGCATTGTCCTTGGAGAATCACACTTTGGCTTGGCTATTGATTCTTTCCTCCTGCAAAAGAAATGATCAGCGAGGCAAGTATCATTATAAGCAGAATGTTGACTTCTTATAGCTTGGGAAACAAGGGCTATAGTTCTGATCTTTTCATCAGTAGACTCGCAAAGCACCAGGTTTTATAGCAGCACCTGGTCTTCTAGGACTGGACTGAGAAGAATTTCAGGAATTGGGGAGCTCTAGAGAGTTCTCAGAGAAAAGACTGAATAGGAAATAATTTGTCTTTTTCAACCACCCCTTCCATCCAGTAAGAAGCGTTCACTTGTTCATTGAACAAATATTTATGGAATGGCTTCCTACTGGCAATCAATAGGGGAATTTAAAAAGAGTAAGGAGTAAGGAATTCTTACTAACTTCAAAGCTTATGATCTAATATGGAAAAGGAGATGGTATATGATGCTAAAACAAAACAGGAATGAGAGAGGTGAGGGAGCCCACTGTGGTTGGAGTAAGCCTGGCCATTCTCATGCCTTCAGGAGTCCATGGTCATGAGTAAAAAGGGGCCCCTGCACACTGCTTCTGGAAAGATGCTCCTCCCTCCCATCCTTCTAACATTCATTACTCTCCACCACTGTCCTGTGACTCCAGGACGGTTGATAATCAGTCCTCATGAGAAACCCAGATCATTAGCTTTCTCACTC